TATTACTATTACTAATATGTTAATAATTATTACTAACACTTTAATCAACAAAGTAAAACGTGAAGTAGCATAGAGGAGGGAATAATTCTATGGGCAGCTGGGGAGGCTTTCTGGAAGAGGTCATGGTTTCTAGTTTGAGCTTTAAAGAATGAGGTATTGCAGGGCCCACAAGGAGTGCAGGGCACTCCGGGCGGATGGTGCAGCATGCATGTAAACGCACTCTCTCTTATTAGAAGCCAGTAAGAGCCCCAAAAGCAGTGAGCTGGGGACATGAAAAAGGCTGTCTATGTTGGTTCATATAACCTGCTGTTTTTCATCATTACTGCATATAATTTCTTCAACTTCCCAGCTCCGTTTCTTAACAGTGTTCTCCAACGTCGTTCAACAAGAGAGTCCCTGAAGGACTTAATGAACAGTGCAGATGCCTGGGCACCCATGGGGGGGTTCTGGCTCAGCAGGCCTGGTGTGAGGCCCGGGATTCTGCTTTTCAAAATAAGCATCCGAAGTCATTTGGTTGCCAGTGGTCCAACTGTCACACTAGGTCAGGGTTTGCCGACCACTGCTGAACCTCTATCCTAGGGTTCCCAACTCTCCATTGAGAAACAGTCCTCCAGATCTATAATGTAGATCACAGCCAAGTCCCTGAGTGAGTAGAATCAAACTTGGCTTTGCCTGTCTGCTGAGTCCGTCCCTCTGAGGATCCACACACCAGGTCTCACTCTTCGCCCACTTTCCCTCCAGCAGCGGAAGTGCTTCTTGTTTCTTTAGTTCTGTATTTGGCTTATGTTAGGGGCCCATGAGGTAACCCCAAAATGTATATTTCTAAACCAAGGCAGTTCACTAGAACTTTCTGTGATGATAGAAATGTTCTATATCTATACTGTGGCTATTGAATGCTTGAAATGTGGCTACAGAGACTTCAGTACTGATTATTTTATCTATCTATCTATTTATTTATTTTTAGAGAGAGGAAGGGGGAGGGAGATAGAGGGAGCGAAAGACAGAGAGACATCGATCTACCACCTCCCACATGCTCTGATAGGGGATCAAACCCATCACCTCTTCCTGTAATGGATGACGCTCCAACCACCGAGCCACACTGGCCCGGGCCTGATAATTTTATTTTAATTAATTTAAATAGCCACATGTGACTTACCACATTGGACAGCTGGGTTCTAAACACTGGAATTAAGCTAAGCACAGAGAGCTCACACTTTGAAAGGCCCCTGGATGGAGACAGCCTCAGGGACCAGCAGGTGTGTCTTCTGGCCTCACCCTCTGAAACCTATGCTTTTTGAAGAGAATGGAGGGCAGAAACTCCTCCATTATTTAAATAGTGAATCTCTCTCTCCCTTTTGCATGTATAATTGGATTTACTAAGTTACCATGGCTCCACTGTGTAGGTTTTTTTTTTTTTTAATGTTTTTAAAAAGGAGACATATGTACTACTATCTGTAATACTTTAAACAATAAAATAAAATTTAAAAAATGTTTTTATTGATTTTAGAGAGAGAAGAAAGGAGTGGAAGAGAGTGATAGAGACATCAATTGGCTGCCTCCTGCATGCCCCCTACTGGGGATGGAGCCTGAAACCCAGGTGTGTGCCCTGACCGGGAATTGAATCAGAGACCTCTTGCTGCATGGGATAACACGTAACCAACTGAGCCACACTGGCTAGGCTACTGTGTAAGTTTTTAAAGCATCCACTCAAGATCTATTTCTTTCTGTGACTTATAAAAATTTTTTAGCCCTGGCTGGTTTGGCTCAGTGGATAGAGCATCAGTGTGTGGGCTGAAGGGTCCCAGGTTTGATTCTGGTCAAGGGCATATGCCTGGTTTGTGGGTTTGATCCCCAGTAGGGAGCATGCAGAAGGCAGCCGATCAATGATTCTATCTCATCATTGATGTTTCTATCTCTCTCTCCCTCTTCCTTCCTCAATAAAAATATATAAACAAATTAAAAAATTATTTTAACACCACAGAATGGGAGAAACATATTATAACTTCATATATTTGACATGTGATTTATATCTAGAATATATATGGAACTCCTATAACTCAACAATGGCAACAAAAACAATCCAGTTTATTTATTTATTTTAAAATTTTCTATTTATTGATTTTAGAGAGAGGAAGAGAGAAACATTGATTTGTTGTTCCACCTATTTATATATTCACTATAGGCCTAGTGCACGAATTTGTGCATGGGTGGGGGCTGGCCTGACCCATCAGGGCTGATGGGGGGAGGAACACACAGGAGGTTGGCCCCGATCAGGATGGGGGGCCGATCAGGGGCGGGGCTGGCTGGGGGAGGGGCTGCCCCCTGGTCGAACTCTGGTGGAACTCCCAGTCGAGGGGACAATTTGCATATTAGCCTTTTATTATATAGGATTGGTTGATTCTTGTATGTGTCTTGACTGGAGATTGAACCTACAACCATGGCATATTGGGGTGATACTTTAACCAACTGAGCTGCCCGGCCAGGGCAGAACAATCCAGTTTAAAAATGGGCAAAGGACTTGAATAAACATTTCTCTCAAGAAGATATACAAAATGTACAATAAACACATGAAAAGATGTTCAATATAACTAATTATTAGGGTGCAAATCAAAACCACAGTAAGAAACTACCTCATACCCAGGATTATATACCCAGAAACAGTACACCCAGAAAATAATAAGTGTTGGCAAGCATGTGGAAATTGGAACCCTTGCTGGGAATGGGTTCCCAGCTGGGAATGTCGGATGGTGTTGTCGCTGTGGAAAATGGTAAGGTGATTCTTCAAAAATTAAACATAGAACCCATATGATTCAGCAATTCAACTTCTGGGTTTATACTGAAAACAAGGTAAAGCAGGGATGCAAACAGAGGTTTGCATACTCTTATTCATAGCAGCATTATTCACAATAGCCAAATGGTAGGAGCAACCCAAATGTCTATTGATGGAAAAATGGATAAACAAAATGTGGAATATTTTTCAGCCTTAAAAAACAAGGAATTCTGACACTACAACATGGATGAACCTGGAAGACATTATGCTTGAGGAGATAAGCCAGGGACAAATGGACAAATACTAGTACTATATGAAGCCACTTTTAGGAGATGCCTTGAATAGTCAGATTCCATATAGACAGAAGGCAGAATGGTGATTGCCAGGCGCTGCGGGGAGTAAGGGTTGGGGAGCTACTGTTTATGGGTACAGAGCTTCAGTTTGAGGAGATGGATGGTGGTGATGGTTGCAGAATGATGTGAATAAATTTAATGCCACTGAACTGTATACTTAAAAGTGACAGATTTTGGTTATTTACCAAATAACCACAATATATTTACCACAATAAGAATGATAAAAGAAAAAAAAATAAGGCAGTAAGATCTTGACGTTGCCTCCCTACCTTTTTTTAGTCACCACAGCCAGCAGGAAGGGTGGAGGATTCCTAGTCTAAAAATTCCCCCAACTTGATGTCCACACACCTTTCCTAGTCTCTGTCCAGGGTGGATGCTGTTGAATTACTTCTCTGGCAGACAGAATGCATTACTGAAGATGAAAATCCTTGGAAATAACATTTTATAGAGTGGTTATCGTTGAGACTATTGATAAACTGCTCCCTACATAAATAACATATGTGAATCTTGAGGCGTAGCCACAATTACAGTGTAATCATCTCATAAACACTGAGGAATCAAGTCATTCTTGTGGCAACAACCTTAATTGACACTATTATTAGTCAGCTCTACAGGTAGGCTGAAAATTTATCTATTTGATGATAGCAACCACTTCATTTGGTCCTATGCCATGTCCTGGTTTTGCTGGATTTTTTTCTGAGCCTGTCAGTTTCAGAGTGCTTATAGTAACTGTAATGAGTATAATGAAATGCCCTACTTTGTGCAAAAAATATATCGACAGCCCTGGCTGGTGTGGCTCAGTTGGTTGAAGTGTTGTCCCATACAACAAAATATGGCAGGTTCGATTCCCCATCAGGGCACATGCAGGAGGCAGCGGGTCTCTCTCTCTCTTTCTCTCTCTCTCTCTCTCTCTCTCTCTCTCTCTCTCTTCTCTCTAAAATCAATTATATATATATAGATAGATAGATAGATAGATAGATAGATAGATAGATAGATATAGTAAGAAAGAAGAAATTAGCTTGTCCTGAGAAATCAGTGGTTTACTCTTCATCAGACTGGGCTAACAGAGATAAAGCCATTGTAAATTGTTCTGACTATCTCCTTTGAGTAAGCACTGCCTTTTTACTAATTGAGAAAATTTGTCCTACAAAGTCATCGGCAAGCAGAAACTTTATTGTTTGAAACTATACCAATAAGAACATCCCACTCTTATTTGGGGGATCTAAGTCACTTTGACACAGAGAAGCTGCCTTGAATGCCAACCCAGAGCAGCGTATCAGATAAGAGGTTTCTAAACAGGACAGTCCATATCTAGCGTAACTATAGTTTCCAAGGCAACAGGACCCTGGGTGTATTTTGCCGTCCAGACCTGATCTTGAGCCCTACTTTGCTCTGAGCCTATCAAAAACCTGCTTCATGTCAATTTCACGCAGACTCTACGCTTTCCCTAAATTTGATAAGAATGCTACTTTTTCCTTTGTTTGGTGAGTTATCCCACCGTTCCTCTGCTGTGTCATCCCCTTGTTGTAACAAGTCAATACTCCTGACTCTATGGTCTACAGATTTGTCCCAGGTGACCCTGAGATGATTGGACTAAGATAATAGAAACCTCAATTGAACAATAACAACAAAAAATTAGTCAATCAGGGTTTAATATGTGTATGTGTGTGTATGATCACAGGAAAAGTAATCACTGCAGGGTCTCTTTTGAATTGTGGAATTCTCCCTACTTTCCATGCATCTAAAATTACTAATTTAGATTTACTTGCTACATTTCATTTAGACATTATTTATGGATAAACAAGACACAGTGGCACTAGTGCTACAGATCCTGTTGCCTTTTTTCATAACACACTGTTGTCCTCATTGAATTCCAGGGGGCTCCCCGCAGAGACTGAGCCGAGAAGGGAACCTATGCCTGCAAGTGGTTCTGGTGGTTCAGGGTCTGGTGAGTTGGCTTTGTGTATTTTTGTTGAGTCGTTCAGAGATGATCTTATTCAAGGATTGATTCATAATTATGAAAATCGTAAGACTCTGATAAAGGAAGAAAAATGGAGTAGCAACTGCCTCCCCTCAATGTGAAAGGGAGGGGGGTGGAACTGGCATTAAAAAAAAAAAGAATGAAAGAAAAATGTCAGTTCATACATGTAGCTAGAGAAATGTTATGGCCAAGTAGGCTGGAATTCTGTGTTGGCTTGCTCAACAATTCTCTGCTATATAGAGAAGTGTACTTTAAACTGTGATTACTTGATTTTATGCATGTGTTCACCCATCCATGCAGTCATGCATCCATCCATCTATCCATGCATGCATGTCAAATAGACCAAGATAATACTTTATAAAAATATATATTTTTATTAATTTCAGAGAGGAAGGGAGAGGGAGAGAGAGATAGAAACATCAATGGTGAGAGAGAATCAATATTTGGCTGCCTCCTGCATACCTCCCACTGGGGTCTGAGCACACAATCCGGGCATGTGCCCTTGACGGGAAGTGAACCTGGGACCCTTCAGTCCACAGGCTGACGCTCTATCTACCTAGCCAAACCAGCTAGGGCTAAACCAAGATAATAGTTACGAATATTTATTGAGCATTCATTATATACTAGGTAGTATTCTAATAATTTTACAATTTTCTACTCACGTAAAGTTTATTAGGATCCTATGAGATAAGTCCTATTATTCATTCTTGCAGATGAGGAAACTGGGCACAGAAATAGTGAACAACTTTCACAAGATCACAACCATGTGGCAGAGGCTTCATAGATTCAGCATAGACCCCAGACCCATATTGTTTTTGCCCTTTTAGATTTATGGGGAAAGTTATGAGTACTGTAAGAAATTCCTGGAAACTTTTCACCCAGATTCCTCAAAAGTTAACATTTTATTACATTTGCTTTATTATTCTCTATCTAATGTTACATAATTTTTTTCTGAATTGATATAGAGTATGTTTTACCAGTAAATACTTCAACATGTGTGTATCTTAAAATCAATGCCATATCAAGATTAGGAAATTAATGTTGATAAAATATTACTATCTAACATACAATGTCATTCAATGTCACTAATTGCCCCACAATGTCCTTTATAGCAAAGAAAATTCTGGATCATGTTGCATTTGGTTATCATGTCTCTTTAATCCCTTTTTAAATTATAATTTTTAAAAATTCTTACCCGAGGATACGTTTTACTGATTTTAGAGAAAGGTGAAGAGAGAGAGAGAGAGAGGGAAGCACTGATTGGCTGCCTCCCACGTGCACCCCGACCAGATAATGAACACACAACCTAGGTCTGTGCCCTAACCAGGAGTTGAACCGGCAACCTTTCAGTGCACAGGATGATGCTCCAACCAACTGAGCCACATCAACCAGGGCTCTTTAATCTTTTTTAATGTAGAGCAGTTCTATGGTCTCTCTACGGGTTTAATGTCATTGATGTTTTGAAGAATACAGACAAAACTGTCATGCAACTTCACAATCTATCCTATCTAATAAAGAGAAAATATGCAAATTAACTGTCATGCCGTCACAAAGATGGTGGCACCCATAGCCATAAGATGGCAGTGCCCAGTCCTCTCAGCCCCAGTGGAGTCCCCCAGTCCTTCAGCCCCGCTGGGGGTGTGGCAGGCACGCGGTGTGTCTGGACCTGCCCTCAGCCCCCCAGCCGCCCAGGGCCAGCCTGAGGCACAGGCAAGCCTCTAGTAAGGATATACTGACAAATTAAGTTAGTTCCATCACAAGGATCTCTCATGCTAGCTTTTATGTTGAAGTGGTTTTTTTTGGTGTTGCCTTTGTATATCCAGTTGCTTCAGTACCAATTCTTCCTCCACTGAATTGCTTTTACAATTTTATCAAATACAATTCAGCCTATTTGTGTAGGTCTATTTCTGGATTCTCTATTCTGTTCCATTGATCTGTGTTTCTATCCTTTTACCAATACCACAGAGTCCTAATTACTGTGGCTATATAATAAGTCTTTATATTAGGTAGACTGATTCCTCTCTTTATTCTTCTTTTTAAAAATTGTTTTAGCTACTTTAGTTTCATATAGAGCTTAGGATAACTATATATATTATTAAAAAATCTTACTTGGATTTTGATAGGAATTGCATTGTTTATCAGTTTGGGAGAATTTACATAGATATTATGTTGAGCCTTCCAATCCATGAACATGGTATGTCTCACCATTTATTTAGATTTTGTTTGATTTCTCTTATTGGTGTTTTTTAGTTTTCAGTATATAAGTTCTGTACATGTTTTGTTAGATTTGCACTTAAGTATTTATTTATTAGCTATTGTAAATGGTATTATTTTTGTTTTGTTTTGTTTTTTCAAATACAAGTGAAATTTTATTTTGAAAGCCACAGAGGTAGAAAAAGTGAGTCAAGCCCTAGCCAGTTTGGCTCAATGGATAGAGGTCGGCTTGCGAACCAAAAGGTCCCAGGTTTGATTCTGCTCAAGAGCATGTACCTTGGTTACAGGCTCCTCCCTGGCCCGGGCCCTAGTCAGGGCTCGTGCAGGAGGCAAACAATTAATGTGTTTCTCTCACATTTCTCTCTGTCTTTCCCTCTCTCTTCCACTTTCAAAAAAAAAAAAAAAATCAATGGAAAAATATCCTCAGTTGAGGATTAACCAAAAACAAAAAGAAAAAAAAATGAGCCAGCTGGGTTGTGTGAGCTCAGGAAACAAGTTACAGAGGCAAGAGAAGGGCCCTTGGAGCTTAGAAAAGAGAGAGAGCAAAGGTATGTGCCTTGAGGGAAGAAGAGGGGGAATGGTGTGGGCATGCTCCAGAGAGAGAGAGAGAGAGAGAGAGAGAAAGGAAGAGAGGGCCTGGCATTGTATTTTTAGTCTTGGTGCCTACAAGTTTATTGTTAGTATATTAGAAAATGATTTTGAAAAAAATACAAATGTCTTTTTTCTTTGCTATTAATTAATTAATTAATTAATCTATCTTTATTGTTGAAAGTATTACAGATGTCCCATTTTTTTATCTCATTGATCCCCTCCCCACAAAAATATACAAATGTGTTCATGTTTAGGTGCACTCCCCAGCCCCCAGAGATTCTGATTCTTTTTTTCTAGGTGGGACTGGAGTCGATATTCTTTTAAAGCAGGTGATTCTGAAGTGGAGTCAAGGCTGAGAACCACTCTGAATGAGCCTGGTTTTACACTTGCTCCACGCCCAGAATCCTCTTTCCTTGGCTGCTTATCATATGAGCTGAGGCTCAAATATCACCTCCTCAGAGAGGCCTTCCCTGAACACACTATCTAAGGAGGCCTTGTCTCTTTCCTTAGATCCTCTCTATCTAATTACTCTTTTTTATTTTTTATAGCACTTTCTCATCTGAAATTATCACCGCTTTATTTCCTGGGATAGCTCTCTCCACTAATCCCCGAAAACAGGCACTGTTTCTATCATTTACATATTGCATCCTCAGGGCTTGAATTGTGCCTCGCACACAGTGGATGAATAATTAATTAGGTTTTTTTAATTCTCAGGTGGATGATATTCCCTAATCACTTTATTAAAATTGGTATTTCTCAAGTCTTTATTAGTAACACATTTACAAACTATCTTTTGAGATTCTTTTATCTGGCTAATTTTATATCCTATATCTGTATTATATTAAATATTAAAAGTTGAACAGTCCTAGCCGGTCTGGCTCAGTGGATAGAGCGTTGGCCTGTGGACTGAAAGGTCCCGGGTTCGATTCCGGTCAAGGGCACATGCCTGGGTTGCAGGCTTGAACCCCAGTAGAGGGCATGCAGGAGGCAGCCAGTCAATGATTCTCTCTCATCATTGATGTTTCCATCTCTCACTCCCTCTTCCTTCCTCTCTGAAAGCAATAAAAATATATTAAAAATTAAAAAAAGTTGTACAAATTTGTGTTCATTATAGAAAAACTAGAAAGCAAAATCTCACAATTAAAAAAATTATGTCCGACTGGTGTGGCTCAGTGGTTGAGTACCGACCTATGGCTACACCATTTTACATTCCCATCAATAGTGCATAAGGGTTCCAATTTCAAATCCTCATCTACATTTGTTATTTTCTGTTTTTGCTTGTTTGTTTTAAATAATAGCATACCTAATGGATATGAAGTGGTGTCTCTCTTTGCAGTTTCGATGTGCATTTTTAATGATTAGTGATGTTACGCATTTTTTCAAGTGCTTGTGGGTCATTTGCATATCTTCTTTGGAAAAACATTCTTATAACTAGATCTTCAAGTGTCTTCAAGTCACATAACTTTGTTATGCGCCAGGGTGTCTAGTTCTGTAGCATCTTTTTTCATAGCTATGTAGTACCCATTGTATAGATGTTCTATGTTTGATGAAACCAATTTCTCATGGTAGGAGGTTTTTAAAAATATTTTTATTGTTTTTTAGAGAAATAGGAAGGGAGAGGGGGAGAGAAAGAGAAACATCAATGTGAGAGCAAAACATGTTTCCTGCACACCCCCGACTGGGGATTGAGCCTGCAACCCGGGCATGTGCCCTAACTGGAAATCGAACCAGCAACATTTTGGTGCATGGGACTATGCCCAATTCACTGAGCCACACAGCCACACCTCGGGGTAGGAGGCTTTTCACTATTTTACACAACATGATAATGAACATTTTTATAACCAGGTCTTTGAAGGTTTCCTTAATACTGTAAAATAATTTCTTGGATGTAAACTTTTGGATCAAAGAATATATATTTTTCAGAGCCTTTCAATTTACATTGCCTAAGGGGCAGGAGTACTGCCTAGACTGCCACCCACTTTGTAAAAAAGAGCTATATTGCATTAGTTTAGTGTTCAGAAACACATTTTAAGCCTTTATCCCTTATAAATTATAATTATGTCCTGTTTCTTTGGGTTTTAGATTGCCTTTGCCAGATTAGCTGGCTGGTGGGTGCTAATCCTTGCACCTGTTACTAAACGCTACTAATGTTACTAAACTAA